TTACAAATAAATGATCAACCAAACACAAATTTCCTTACGTTTTGTGCTAAATTTCTAAACACTTTACCTTACAGTAGCATAAAAAAAATAGGTGCTAATTCATAAAAACACTGCTTTGGCACTTTAGAATTACAGAAATTAAATTGAGAAGGTGCTCATGAGATTTTTGATTATTTCAAGATAAATTGTGTTTTAAGATTTTTTTTAAACCGGCTCAAAGCTTTAAAAAAATATACCTGCGAGCCATAGTTTTATCTTGTCCAAGCATTTTAAAACATTTTGAAGACTCCTTACTAGCAAATGTCTGTAATCTGGTCACCAGTTGTCCCAGCCCAGTGAGGTACAGGCTTTAGAGGAGACACGTATGAAGCTGTAGCTTCTGAGACATTTTGTTTTACAAGAAGCAAGGATCTGCTGAGGTTGCAGCACATTCAGCTGGGATCCAAAAGACACTTGAATCATATGAACTGTCATAATCTGTGTTTTGTTTTCCTTAGTTTTCTAGTGTTTTCAGTGTTCCCCTGTGTTTCTCTGCCYTGCAGCTCCACCCTCTCTCACCTGTGTCCTCTTGTGTCTGCTCCAGGTGTGTCTTGTTGCCCTAATTAGTTTGCCTTTATATTCTGTGTCCTGTCTTCAGTGTTTGTCCGATCATTGTGCTGCTTCCATCAGCCAGTGAGGTATCTGCTTGTGTTCATGTTCCTTTTTCTAGTCTCTGTAAGTTTTTGCTGACATATCAGCCCTCCTTTTGTTTCAGTAAAATATTTGTTTTGAACTTTGGATCCTGCCTGCGCCCTGGGTCATTCTACACTAAACCTCACAATGAACCACCTAAATGTTTTAAAAGTGTTCGTGGTATGAAATTATTTTGATATCAGCATTATACAGACAACACAAACAGAAGTTGAGGTAGCTGACCAACAGATTTTTCTTTATGTTTTGAGAGATGGCATGGACATTTGTGCATTTACAAAAGAGGTAGATTTTTGAAATTTTCTTCTTTAATTTTCCCTATGAAGGCACACTTTTAGATTATGGCTGGATGTTATGTTATGCAACATACAGCAGGTAAAATAAGTATTGAACATATCAACATTTTTCTCAGTAAATATATTACTAGAGGTGCTTATGACATGAAATTTTCACCAGATGTCGGTAACAACCCAAGTGATCCATATATACAAAGAAATCAA